AGCCTCAATATTTTACCTTTAGATAACTGGAAGGAAGTGGGGTAGAGAGAAGGAGGAGAGGAGAACTCTAAAGGACATTCAAAGTAAAGATCTTCTTCTCTGAAGTCATTCTGTTGCCTAAAATTAACAGTGAGAGCCCAAACTGGTGAGCACTGGCTTTTAAACTGGTGAGCTCTGGCCATGGACCTTCAGCAGGGATGGAAGCTGTGCACAGCTGGGCTGAGTCCTAGGAGCTGATTCTGGAGCTGTGGTGTGAGTCCAGGCTTTGCAGGGAGCAGGCTGCAGTGGGATGGCTTTATTATGAACATTTTATCTGGATAAAATTCAGTTGGTACTTACTGAATATAAATGAGTGCATAATATGAAGATCACACAATTTATGTAATTAAAGATTGGTACAGAACACTAGTTAGAAATGGAAATTATTTTCCAGTGATGGCTTTTACTGAAATTGAACTGATCAGTTTCCCAAAATTCATAGACATAGACACAAATTTGTTGTCATTTATGGATAATAAATTACTCACATTATATTATAAACAAATCATCTTACCCCTTTGGGCTTTATTTTCTTAGTCAGAACCTTTTTGCAGCCCTGCTCCGGAGCAGAGGGAGCGCTGTCCTTGCTGTGGGAGCAGTCTGTCAGCTGTGATCAGATGTGCTGCTTGCTGCACGGCACAAACTCAACCTGATGCCTCCTACCCAGGAGAGCGGCCGGCAGGAAGTTCCAGCTGAGGTTCACAGTTCCAAAGTCCACAACCTTCTAATATTTTCAAGGTTTCAAGTGTTTTACACAGGTCAACACATGGTCTGCTTCTCCTTAAAGTTCACTACAGTTTAGCAACATAGCCAGCTCCAGGGTTTGGAGAGAGAGAAAAGTACATTTATGTAAAAGAACTTGGTTTTGTAATTTTTATGGCTTAAACATTTTAGCAAAATCTCACCAGGAATCAGACTCGGTCATGAGAAGTACACAGGGTTCCCTTTGAGTCAGTGAAACAGTTAATTTACATCAGGTGAGGATCTGACCTGAATTTGTGTCACCTCTGATGCAGCAGTTCCGGAGCTGCCTTACTCTCACATATGGAATCCTATCACTGCTCTATCAAAGATGTAATTAAAAACCTGCCATAACAAATGTGCACTATGCCCTACCGAGCTCTCGTGCTGACAAACTGCCAGAGGGGAAGAGTTTGATCTTTTCCTCAGTGTGGCTTGCCTCTGGTCCTGAAGGTTTTCTCAAAGGGCTGGGGAGAAGAAGCCCTGCTGGAGCAGGAGAGGCAGCCAGAGCAGCAGCAGCCAGAGCAGCCAGCCTTCCCCAGGACAGCCCGCTGGAGACAGGCAGAGCCCAGCACCGAGCACAGCTTGGTTTATGGTGATAGCAGCTCCTTTCTGCTGAGACTGAGAGCGGCAGAGCCCTGCCCCAGCTGCTGCTTCTGGGTGGTCTGCAAGGCTGACTTCAAATAGCGGCCAGGGCAGTACAACAGCATGGAAGTGTCAGAGACATGAGGAGCTCTGGCAAGGTCCTTATCAGCACACTGGCCTCCAGTTTTTGACCAGCTACGCACTGAGGAGGAGCAGAACAAGCCACCATTCCTGCCTAAAAATCCTCGGGCAAGTGTGCATATAAAAGAAAACAGTATACACGGCATTTCTTTGAATAAATGAGTTCTCAAACACAGTAATTATGATCAAAAGTTAGCAAGTATCTTCATCTACTTGCCAAATATAATAATCTCCTACAAAATCATAGCTGATAAAAGCATGCTGGTCTTGAGTGGTGGCAGGACAGAGGATGAGCATAGGAATTGTTTATAGATATGAAACACCCAATTCATTTATTCAGTTCTTTTTTTGTTTGTATTCCTACAAAAATTTTCTATATATCTCTTTATTTCAGCACTCAAAATAAATTCTTATATGACCATTATTCATATTATTCAATAAAAAAATCTGAAACCAACCTAATCAGAATGCATATAAAAGAACCCTTGATGTTAACATGCAGAATATCACAATCCCCAAATGGATACTTAAACAAAACTGTAAGAAATTATTTTGTCTAAGGACTGTGTCCAGAGTCCCCAGAAATGGGGATATTTTTATGATTCACTTAGATTTGCATCATGTCATAAGTGAGCCACAGATTTTATAAAACATATCAGTTATTTACAGCAAGCAGAAACTCTGCTTTTGCTGTGTGGAACAAATGTATTGTTTTAAAATCACATGGAAGAAGATGGCTGCCACTTTGTTTAGAAAATTTGCAAAGCTTTAAAGCAGGGGTGAAATTGTCTGCTCATTTTACTTGTGAGCAGCTGGGCATATATGAGTAAAATGATTTGTGAACTTCAGCACTGCTTTAAATAGTTACAAGACTAAATATTTTATTGGGAATAGACAAAGAGATATTAAAGACAAAATGTTTTCATTCAAAAAAAGTACATAAAATCTGAATTTTTTAGCATTTCTTTTGCTGACATTGCTTCAAAATAATTCGATTTGAAAATATGTTATTTTCAATGATACTGCATTAATTTTATTAACTTTTTTTTTCTCAGTGGGAGAACTTAAAATGTATCCAGAGTTCTTTCTGCACCAAAGGCTAAGATAGAAGGAAAAAAAAAATCACCTGGGAATGTTAAAATTCAAAGACCTAAATGTATCTATGACATATTCCAGCTGCATACAAAATGCACTTAATCCTGTGCAGAGAACTTGGCATTCAAACCAGCAGCCCTAATAAACAGAGCTCCGTGTTTCCATTTGCTATTAGTGCCCTTCACTTCTGTCTGCTGAGGGAAAGGTTTGTGTCCAGACAAAACTCCTGCTGGGTGGAACAGCAGAGCACACTCTGTCAGTGTTATCAGTGTCTTTCAATGTGGAACATATTTAACTTGACACAGGAGTAGAAAGAAAAGTAGAAATGGGACTTGTGAGCTGAAGTAAAAATGAACTGAGCTCTGTGATATCTCTCAGGAGCAGAGAGGCAGAGGATACTGAGGTAGTGGTACCCTCAGTATCCCAGATCATGGAGGAAAAGTTCCTTTTGTCCAAGTACACTGAGGCAAAGGCTGGAATTTGGGAGGAACCCGAGTTCCCTGTGGGTCCTGCACACAGCAGACCCAAAACCAGAACCACCAGGATCCCTGGCTGGCAGCAGAGAGCGAGTCTCTTACTCCATAGCTAAAATCCTCTTTTCTCCTGAGACCCACGGAGTCCTCCAGCTCCTCGGGGCCAGTTCTACTGTGAAACCAGAACTACAAACAGTTCTGCAGTGGAACCAGAGCAGGCTCCCAAACTTCAGCCTGATCTTACAGCGAACCTCTGGCCAGTGAGGGCCATTAAGGCCAATTAGTATAATCACAGCCCAGCCAAGGCAATGTAAGTGTGTCTTGACTGAAAAATTCAGTTCCTAGCCTGGCTAGCTGGGAGCTCAGAAGTCCTTAGTTAACAGTTATTGATAGCTTACAATGAGTGAACTGAAGTTTTAGGATGACATTTTAATTTTCAGAGTTAGTCCTGTTTATGTATCAGAATATTTATCCCTTGTCAAACTGAAAAAATTCTAAAATACAAAAATAGTTTGGGGAGTTATCCCACCTTATAATATGGAAGCAACATTAATAAGCATTCGAGATGCCTTTCCAAGTATTCAGAGTTATTTTATTATTGTAGTCATACCTTTAGTAAGCTAGCAAAATTCTATGTGTTCATAACATTTGTTTTTCAGGTAATAGAAATTTGATTCTTTCATTGTAACATAAGTTGAAGTGCTGTATTTTGAAACAATTGGAACAAAAGAATTTGTCATGCCATTGTATCTATCTAAATCAGACAATTGCTACCTATGATGGTCTCAAAAAAACAAATTTCAGATAGGCTGAGTGCTAAAGAAATGTAGAAATTATTTTATAACCACTTAAAATGATTGCAGTTTCTGGTGAAAAGGTGTATACTTCAGTTTTATACTAATGCTCCTGCTACTACACAAAGTTGAAACTAAAGTTTAATACAACTTTTCAAACCAGTGAGGAGAGTGAAATAGATTTCAACTCTGGCAGTGCAATGTGAAGCAGTTCCTCTTCCCTCCAGCTCTTCAGGACCAGCAAGGGAATTTGTGATCATGGGCCCACCCAAGGGAGGGTGGGCAGCAAGAACCTCAGAACTGGCTTGGATTGTTGCAGTGGATTATTTTTAATCTTGCACACCACAAAACGCATTAATTCAGTTTCCAAGGTGTTCAGAGCAAGAGTTTACCCAAATAAGGATCTGTTCCTGTATGTGCCTTTTACCTGTTTTTAAGGCAAGAAGGTGCCTCAGTGAATGTCTGACATGTCCTGCCACTGCCACAGAGCTCTGCCTGCATCTCTGGGACCCACACAGTGCCCAGAATCTGTGCCCAGGCAGAGCCCCCGGAGCTGCTGCTGCTTTCTCCATGCTGGGTTCCTGGCTCTGAAGGTGCAGAGGGAAGGACAGACAGACAAATGCAGGGGAGCAGTTTGTGACCCCTCACAGAGCCAGCTGCACCCAAGGCTGAGGCTCTGGCTGGTGCCTTTGCTCCTGCAGGAGGGCAGCAGAAAGGAGGCAGGGAAGCTGCAAGGCTCGGGATTGCTCTGGGCTCAGCCCCGCTGCCACGGCCTAACCAGGGCTCTGACACGGCACCATCAGCCACGGCACCATCAGCCATGGCCTAAGCAGGGCTCTGACACGGCACCATCAGCCACGGCCTAACCAGGGCTCTGACACGGCACCATCAGCTCCAGCACCATCGGCCACAGCCTAACCAGGGCTCTGACACAGCACCATCAGCCACGGCCCCATCAGCCACAGCCTAACCAGGGCTCTGACACGGCACCATCAGCCACGGCACCATCGGCCATGGCCTAACCAGGGCTCTGACACGGCCCCATCAGCCATGGCCTAACCAGGGCTCTGACACGGCCCCATCAGCCATGGCCTAACCAGGGCTCTGACACAGCACCATCAGCCATGGCCTAACCAGGGCTCTGACACGGCCTAACCAGGTCTCTGACACAGCACTATCAGCTCCAGCACCATCAGCTCCAGCACCATCAGCTCCAGCACCATCAGCCACGGCCTAACCAGGGCTCTGACACAGCACCGTGAGCTCCCGAGTCCATCCTTAGCCTGGGATTCACTGGGATTTTTTCTTCCTCTTTGAAGGGAAGTTTACTGATCCTACACTAATTTCAGATTAGTAAAATAATCTCAGGGCTAATAACTTCATCGCTTTCATGGTGAAAACAAAAGCTGCCCATGATGGAAAACTGCATTGTGAGAGAGAAGAAAAGCCAGTTTCACACAAAGTTGGTTTGGTTTTTTTTTTAATTATCATGACATTTTTGAGAGCAAAAGTTATCAAGGCTGGATTGGTGTCCTCAGTGCCGGGGATTAACAATCTATGAGTACTTTTATGTGATCCACTTTTATCTCTTTACAGAGGTGTGGTCTGGCCTTATGAAATTCCTGTTGAAACCACATGAATAACATCTAGATTGGTCCTTTATTGCTGAGAAATATTTTTGGGGTCTGAAATTCTGTGCAGCATAAAAATTATCTGTCTGATTAGTGAGCATTAACACTTTTTAAGAATGCATTCTAATTTTGCTTTGATTTTTAAAACCCAAATATTATAATAGTTAATTTACTATACATTCTGCAAATGTTCATTTGTAAGTTTCATACTTGTTCCTATATTAATATTTTGGGAAAAAAGTTAAACAGTTACATGTTAGTTTAATTTTAACTGCAATATATTCTTCCCAAGGCCATGCCTTTTTTAATTAAAAAAATAAAAATTAGGGACAGGAATGTGTACTGGCTTGGCACCTGAATTTCTTGGGCTTGATTAAAATAAAGTATATCCCACTGATATTTCTAAACTTTTGAAGTAAACAACAGCATTTCTGATTTCTGTGGAATGAGGCCGTCCCTCTCACAGATGATGGAAGTCTTTCACATTTGTGTAGTTTTGTTGTATTTAATGAATAAGCACCAATATGAAGGGATCTCCCTGGACTTCTGTCCTTGCTGCCATCTCCTGCCATCCTTCTCCCAGATCCCCTGCAAGGCACTGGAGCTCTGTTCCTCTTAGGAGCATTAAAAATTTATTTGCAAGTTCCCTTTCCAGAAAACAAAATATTTGTTAACATGTTGTATTTGCAAGCAGCATTCAAAAGTTTTATCATATAGTCAAAAAGCTGTAAATAGCATTTGGTAAAAGGAAAGTTTTGCAGCTCGGGAGACTGGCAAACAAAAAGAAACAAAATTCAGTTGAAACATTTTAGTATTTCTGAATTTGTTTCCTCTCAGAGTTAGCAACTGGCATGGTTGAGATGCAAAAACAAACAGAAAAGCTCCCACTTTTGTTCTCACTTAATCATGAATTTCATTTGAATGTTTTCAGGCTTGCTCGAGTGCAGCACATTTTGTGCACTGCTGAGATGCTGAGTGAGCAAAGTGTGCTTGGCTTCAGGTGCTCCTCTGCTGCAGGAAGGTGAAGTGATTTACTGGCTGTGTCTTCCTGTGGTGATGTCTGAAAGCGACACAAACACACAGTAACAATTAGCAGTGCTCGGAGAAGTGTTGACACCAATTCCTAGAGGAGATTATTTACTCCTAGTGCTGACCTGTCAATAAACAACGCTAAACTCTACCGAGAAACGACAAGGGTTTAGTGTGTAAGTGCTTTTGTTTGCCAGTGTTGCTGAGTCTTTCTTTCCATCTGGCCCAGGTCCTGGGAGCTTTATGGTTATGCCCATTGATAAAGGCCAGGTGGGCAAGTTTTGTGAGCTGTCTGTCACTTCTTCAGACATGGGACGTGGCTGCAGTGGAGAAAAAAGCAGGGAAACAAAAGGAGTGGGCAGGGGAGCAGAATTCCTCTCATTCCCAGCCCCTTCTCCTGTTCAAGCTCAGCAACACCTGGATGTTCCCTCAGTAACGCTGCTCTGGGATTCCCTGGCAGCTGCTGGGAGCAGCAGCAGCCTCTTTCATCAGGAAATATCCCGAGGGTGCTCCCAGAGTTCGGGGAGATGTCTGTGCTAACTGAGCTGTGCTGCCCAGCAGGGGCTGCTTGCTGGGCTTTGTCTGAGAGCCTCCCTCTAAAATGATGCATTCTCCTTTGCAGGAAAGGATGTTCACATACAGTGTGTCGTTACTGGCTAGGTGGGGTGTTAGTCTGGTGTTTGTAATAACTTTAAGTCACTTTTCTCACAGCTTGCTGAGCATTAGCTCATTTTTGTACCATGGGAGTCCCTGTCTTGGTGTCTCGCTTAATTGAGATGAATTGTGTAGGACAGAAGGCACTTCGTGCTCTTTGTCATAAACCATGTATCTATAACTTAAACCTGGGATCTTTCCTTACAGAGCACAGACCTCAAGGCTTGTAGTAACTTTTGGCTGCTCTTCTTTTCAGGATTTGTATTAATGACATCTCTGTCCTCTTGGACAAAAGCACCCAAAAAAAACCAGCCAGACATTCTTAAATATAGGTGTAAGATGCAGAAAGACATTTAACAAAATGAAACTTCAATAATGATTAGGATGTAGATTTTGTTTAGGTCTAGCACTTACTGAATCTGTGTTTTAGCCAAGCAAGCTTTGCCAAAGCAGATTGGGTCAAGCCTGTTTTACTGATTTGAAGATGGTGTTAACTCCATCAAGGAGGTGAACTGGTCCTTGGATTTCCAATGTCACCTGCAGTGAACAGGTGGCTATTTACAGCAGTGTTTACTAAAGAGGTACTTAGGATAATATTTACTAAGAGAGCAGAGGAGAGAGAAAGCAGCCAAATGTTTTGGTTGCTCTGGAATTCATCCCTTGTCAGCCTGAGGGACAGTGGTCTCAAGAGAGAGCAGTGAAGCTGCAGTTTTATGTCCCTTCCCCACTTTCCTTCCTCAGCACCCCCACAGAACAAGTGATGACTTTTACCCTGCTTGTGCTGAGGAGATCCTTTGCTAATCAGCTGGAGTGGAAAGCAGATGATCATATCTACTCCATACATTCTCACTGAGACTTCACTGAGGGCTAAACTGAGCTTCATTACACGCTGTTTCCATATTGCAGGGGGTCCTTGAGAGGTTATTGCTGCAAGTTCTCCTTTTCTATAAAAGTCTGCAGGTGTTTCAAAAGTGCTGGGAGTAAAATACATGTGCTTATCAATGTTCTCTGGAAAGCATCTTAAGAATCTGAATTTTCCTAAGCCTCAGGTATTCATCTATGAATTTTAAAGGCTATTGAGTGATTCAGCTGAACTTGTATCTCTCTCTGCTTGTGAAAATAATTTTGGAACAATGTCTGACTTATGTTTAGTGGGAGAAGCAATGGATGTATTGCATCTTGCAGAGTATCTGGCACGGCCCATTGTCCTTAATCTCTAGTTTTGAAAATACATCCAAGTGTTTCTGTAGTTTAAAGTTTCCACTGTTTTTCCTCCTCGATGAATAGAAATAATAGATTTCAGACACATTTATTAATTTCAATTTTGAATGCCATAAAAAATTGTGTTATTTCAGTGTTTTGTTAACTCGTGATTATTTTGCCCATTTTTAGAGATTTAAATGTTTCTGTAGAGTGCTTGACAAAAGTTCAGGAGCTCCTTAGGAACTGTTAGGTTCAGGAGAGCCTTTCCATCACTGTCTTTAGGAACTGAATCAAGCTAATAGCCTGTGTTTCCACCTCCTCTGAACCTAAAGGGCTGTCAAACCTTGATCCTAAATGAGACTGAACTGAGAAAATCCTGACTGGGAGTCTCATCAAAACCACTGGAAATGCTTCATTGCTGTCAAGGTAGAAAAGCTTGCTCTCAGTCTTGGCCTCTTTGAACAGCTGAATTTTTGTTTCCTTCTTACATGGAAATAGTGAGTTTGTAGACAAACTTTGCTTTGCAGTAGTTGTGAAACTAATTAAAGTGTGAAGTCTTGGAAGTGATACTCTTTGAGCAGTGTATTGAGCAAGAGGGGAAGCACATCAGTAACTGTTTTCATCGCTGCTTTTTCTAAACAGGAAGAGTAATTAAAAATTAAGAACCCTCTTATCATTATTTTCCCTTTTTTTTTTTCAGGGGAAAAAACTCTGCTCTAGCTGTGGTGAGCTATACATGGATGAAGACTACTTAGAACAAGAGTGTCAAAGTTACTTCCATTCTTTGAAAGTTCACAACTTATTTTAGATTGTTGTACTGCTCACAATTAACTTTATTCTCTCGACAAGAAAAGTGAAAAAATTAATAAATATATGCTGGAGATACAAGTTAAAATTTCACTTATAATTAGGTGCTCAGCACATGACTGAGGCCAGTTCAGAGGAAGAACATTGGCCAAAAGCCCACAGGCTAAGGGCAGCATCCAGACACGGGCTCAGCACAGAGCTGTGGAAAGCACTGAAGAGCTGGCTAGCACAGGAGCACTGCAGGAATGCTTTCCTCTCAATTAGTCCATGTAATTGCCTGGTGTCAGAGCAATACTGTAAAGCAGACTTGCAACGTGAGACCCATGAACAAGGAGATCTACCTTCAGTCTTAGACACTAATTGAGGTCAAATCACATAACTGGAAAGCTTCTGAGGTAAAAGCAGTGTCAATTAGATTTCCTAATGCAGATCCTACTGCATTTTATTGTCAAAATTAGAAAAATTACCTGTTACTGGCTAGATCTCAGTTTCCCAGAAAAAAAGAAAAAAATACATATATATATAATAACCTATTTTTTACAGGAAACTATTTGGTGGATACAAAACCAAAAGAAAGACTGGTTGACAAGACCCGTGGGCAAACTGCTGGTTACCCAGGTACTGTCAGCATGAGCTGGATTTTAGTTTTGTATTTATGGAAAGGAAAGGCACAAAAGGCACTGGGGAAATGAAGATGTGCGGTTTGTGTAGCCCAGCACACTTAGGGAGCAGTGTGACTGTGTTTTTAAGATAATGCCCATGTAATCAAGCATTGTACATAATGTTGGGTCAGCATTCTGCAGCTAATTCAACACTCTGCTGTGCTCCGTAGAAAATCAGCAGGTTTATACCCCCAGGTAGTTATAAAATAGACCCTGGAAACAACCAGCTTGAATAGAAACAAAGTAAAATCAACTGTAAACCGAAAACTGAGAGAGTTTATTATCTTTCATAGTTGTCATGTCTTTAATTTCATGTTTGTGCTGGAATGGTGATGTCTGCAGTGCTTACTGGAGGATCAGGATCCTTCCAAAGGTTTTGAGATCAGCATTTAGTTCTGTGAAAGTCTGGATTAACACACCATTGCCATGAGAAAGGCAAAACTGGTTTGGAAGCAGACTCCTTAGAAAATCAGCATAAATGAGACTGCTAGCAAATGTGAAACATGCTGTTAGATTTTGGACCTTTCAAAGACATGTATTTTGAGATAAATGTGCAATAAAGCCTGTGTTTAATCTAGGAAGAGGAGCAGTATTCTACTGGTAAAAAGCAGAAGGAAAATAAATTGCATCATCTATAACCTTTGCAGTCATAGGCTCAATGAACAGAACATCAAAACCAAATGTAAGGAAAACAAGCCTCTGTATTCAATTTACCTAGTGATATCCGGCCTTACAAGAAGCTTTAAGTATATTCATTCTTTAGCTGCAGTGTGAAAAAATCAGTACTGAGCTCAGTCTTCAGTGGATGAGTGTATCTAGGGGAAAAAATTGCTTAAAGCCAGATCCAAGGTCCGTCAAAATGACTGGAAATAGTCCCAGAGACTCGGGATTGTAGATCAGGCTCTCAAACACGTAAATGAAAGTTTGATTGCTTTGGTGAGCAATATTTCTGTTAATCGTCCAGCAAAAGAGATCTGATTATTTGGAACAGTAAAACAGCCATTTGGTTCCTGACAGAATACAATGCATGTTTGAGCATATCAAATGTGTTTGGAGTTAGGGAAGGAAGAATCTCGGGATGTTTGGGTTTGGTTTGGATACGCATCCAGAGCCCGCGTGTTTGCTGAAGCTGCTCACCCTGCACCGAGGGCTGGGCAAGGAGCAGCCCTGCCAGGCCTGCCCAGGGCCAGGGAGCCAAAAATACCAGAGCAGCCAGAATGCTGCAAAAGGAACAGGGAACTGCGGGCAGAGGCTTTTGGAACAAGTGTCTTCTGGAGAGAACTCAGCCTTCCACAATGCTGGTGTGAAGAGAACAGCTTAACTCCAGCTCTGCTGCCATGCAGGAGGCTCTGAGGCCACTGTCCCCTCTGGCACACCCTCCTGAGGTCACTGTCCCCTCTGGCACACCCTCCTGAGGCCACTGTCCCCTCTGCCACGTCCTCCTCCCCTGCTGCAGCCATGGCTCTGTGTGCCCTGAGGCTCCTGCAGGACTTTGGGCTTTGGTGGTAACACAGAAATTTCTCTTTTGGAGTAACGTGAAAATGTTTCAGGTGTTTGCCCTCAGTTTCCTTTGAGATGCATGTATGTGCATGGGGACATAGAAGAGGGATGGTGGAGAACAAAATCTGGAATTTTCTTTACCTTCCAGTCCTGCCCAGATTAGGTTCTTCCCTAACCTGGTTCAATGGCTCCGTTTTGTCTCCTTGCTGGGTGCTTGAGGATGTAAGAAGTACTGATGTCCTTCCCCTTACTAAAATTAGGAAGCTTTGGTTTTGTGTCTGGGAGAATCTGACCATGGTTAGGCATGGTGAAAACTAGAAGGTACTAGAAAACTAGATGTGGAGACAAAACTCCCCATGCAATGCTTACTTGCTTGCTGCTGGAAAAAATCCTTACTGCAGGAGGAATACAAAATAAGGAGAATGAAGCCTTCAATGCATAGTTCAAAAGATTTTTTTTTATTCTGATGCCAGTGCAAAATACCAATGATTTTCTGCTTGTGACAGAGCTCATAAGAAATGGTACCTTAAGGAGCTTGTGTTGACAAAATATCTGAATTCCTGTTTTCCACTGAGGTGAAACTGGCCCAGTGGAAGAACTGACATACCTTAACTCAGAGACTGTGCCTGGAGTCCTGTGTGAGTGTGTGCATTCTTACTAAATTTGTCACTCGGAGCTGGGAGGGTGAGTCTGACAGCTCATGCAGCTCTGTCACAGCCATGACACAAATCTGCACCTGATTTAGAGAAGTTCTGCTCTTCTGAGAATTCCTTTCTCAAGCAGAAACCACCCAGATAAATTTTATTTGATAGATAATTAGAGTTTAAGTAGATAAATATGTATCTGAGGACAGTGGATTAACCTGCGGATATTAAATGAAAAATTGGTTCATTGATTCCTTTTGAAAAGGACCATAAAAGCATCACTCTGAAGACAGCTGTCATCTTTTATTGGCCTGGGTCATGTGTGGAGTTTTTTGTTTGTTTTTTAAGGAGAGGAGTAAAAATCTTTTTTGGCAAGGTTTCTTTATCTGAGAATCTCTGATTAGGAATGTTGTGCTTTAGTTATCCTGGTGCCTGGTTCTGGGCCAGGATTTGTCAGGATGGAGGATGTTCACAATGATGGTGTTCTTTTTGCCTCTAGTAATGGTTTTTCCTAATAGGGCAAGCTCAGAAGGCTCATGACCATGAAGGGAATAATGGGAAAGGAAGTTTCAGTGGGATTTTTTTTGTTTGCCTTTTTTAAAAAAAGGAGACGGAGACAAAGGATGGAGTTAATATAAAATCCTGCTCTCCAGTTAGCCTAGGAGATGACCTGCAGTTTTTGGAATTACGGTATGTTCAAAGATATGTCACTGAAATAATGTAATGCCACAGACATTAGGCCATAATGACCCAAAAAAGTATGTGTTTAGTAGTTTGCAGCTGGAGTCAAGGAAGGAGCAAAACCGCTTGAAGTGAGCCAGAGCTGCACATTCTGAAAACCATTCTTGCATTTGGACAGTGGCTGAGAAAACATCCCCAGCTAACTGTGTGCCTTTGGTTTAGATTAAATGCCACAGGATCAGTGGCCTGCAAGGGTGCAAGGAGAGCTTGGACAAAGCATTTCTGATTTTTTGTGTAGCTGTCAACTGTGATCTGAAAGATCACAACCGTAGTCCCCATCAACGGTGGTCTGGAATTTTACAGGGTGGGATTTTTATTTGGGGTTTTTTTTAATCAAAGAGAAAGGACTTGTGAGAAAAAGGAATTTATATGGATCACCCAGAATAGGTAAAGGTCTTCTGTATGTCCTCAAATACTTTCTGATGACCATAAGGTCTAAATAAGCATAGCTGTGTGCTCAATAGTTTACTGAATTAGAGATTAATTTATGTATACCTTGAATTTCAAGAGTCTAATGTGGCCTTATATATTATTGTTAATCTTACCTGTGCTCATCCATGCAGCCCTCTTGGTGAAAGCAGCAATGTGAAGAGCTGAAGTCGCTCTTGGTGGCACCACAGTTTTCCTGGTGCCTGCCTCAGCACTGGGCACAGCCAGGGATTTCAGATGTATTAATTGCTCTAACAGCCAGATGATTTTCCTGATAGGGCATCTACCTTTCCTGGTGTCCAATTTACCAGTGCTTGGCATGATGCATCCAAGATTTCACATCAAAGCTTTTTTTAGAGTTGTTTTTTATCTCCATATGTTGTCTTACTCTTCCTCAAAGCAGTTTTAGGAGTGCACCTCATACCTGCATGACTGCCTGTCCCTTCAGCTGATGGTGTCTTTCTGCACTTGCTTGTAAGTGAAACCAATATTCCAACACTGTTGCCTTCCTTGGTGTGGGGTAGGAATCACCTAATGTAAATTTGAGGTGTTTCAAAGCAGCTGTCATTGCCTTGCTCCACAAGTGAGTGCAAATTTTCATTTGATGCTTTTGCTGGAGGGGGCTTTGTGTTTTACTGAGCCCTCAGTTTGTTCCAGAGGCATTGGCTGAGCTAATAAGGGACCATCTAGTCCTACAAACCTGGCCTGTTTTCCTGTATCTAATCACACTTATCGGCAGTTATCCCAAAAGTGAAGGCAGTATGCAGAATTAAGTACAAAAGTGGTTCTCATGTGGCTAAAAAGCATCCACATTGGCGTTCTTTTTTTTGCCCTGGAATGTTAATGCTGTGGTGTTTGGGTGTTTTGAACACAAAATGTTTTTCGTTTCCCCTACGGTAGTCTGGTCTCCGTATGTAAGGCAATTCCAAGGATAGTCTGTTCCAGAACATCTTTGGTTAATAAGAAGCTGAAAGATAAGCCTTGTGATAATTGATAAGTCATTAGCAGGACTCTAGTTCATCAGATAAGGCAATTAATGGTTTCATATTTCCTAAAAAGTGGCAGTGTTGGGCTGAGTCACTGCAAGACATAAGATGAGGAATTGTTTTGCGATCCAGTTTGAATGCAGGACAGATTTACATCCCATGTAAGCATACACGTGTTTTTTTCTGCAATCCATACTTTGGCTTTCCAATCATTTTCATTGACATTGAATACTCAGTTGAATGCTTGTGTTATGAAGAATTCATATTTTATTCACTCAGATTTTGTACTGCAGGAGCTGTTGTTTGTTCTCACTTCTCTTATGTGTGCTAATCGTTGGGCTGTCACAATGAAAAGGTGTTTCACTTTTTTAACTGTGTAGGTGTTAGAAATATGGATTATGATTTGAACATCATGGAATCAAGTCATTCCATAACTAGATTACAAATAAGGAAAAAATATTTTCAGAATTAATTCCAAATTTCTTATGGATTTGTTTATGAATTTGAAATCCAATTTTTTTCAGCTGGTTAG